CGGGCCTTCTCGGCGGTGGCTCCTCACCTTTGGAACAATCTCCCTCCTGAGATTCGCGCGGCCCCTACCCTGGGTACATTTAAAACTCAGCTAAAAACATGGCTTTATGTTAAGGCCTTCCCTCCTGCCAGCATTTAATTTAATTTAATTTATCTTTCTTCTTTATCTATTATTTATGATTTATGTTATGTTTGTTAATTGATATTTTGAATTTATGTTACTATAATTGTATTTATGTTGTTGTTAGCCGCTCAGAGTGGTATAGATTTATCAGATGGGTGGGATATAAATCAAATCAGTCAATCAATCAATCAATCAATCAATCAATCAATCAATCAATCAATCAATCAATCAATCAAATAAATAAATAAATAAATAAATAAATAAATAAATAAATAAATAAAATTATGAAATGCCAAAAGAAACTGAACCTGAATAAATGATATACTAGAGGATTCTCACCACCCGAGGAACTTCTCACCATTTGAGGAAATTTTGGTGGGCATAGCAATATTGTAGTACTTCTTATTTTTCAGTCCATGTGAACATAAAGAAATGGGAAATAAAACTTTATAAATTGGGGCTACATAGCACTGCACATACTGTATTCTGTTGTGAACTCCATTCAGTCATATTGTGTACTGTATACATAAATTTTTGATATTTTTCCCAAGTATGATTCTGCCAAATTGAAATAGCAGTCTGAATGGAAATTTAACAAACAATTTAAAAAACAGCAGAGCTTATATAACCGGGGTTCTTTTGGTATATGTGACTGCACTGACATTCACTCATTTGCTCCAGTGCCCTGCAGCAGTATGCCATAGGCAGAATTTTGTTTTTCCTTTTTGATTTCTTAAGGAATGGGGATCTTCAGCTTTGCCAATGATTTTTATATTGCATCCCAGTTCAATGTGTAGGCATCACAGTTAAGTGTGTACTGCCTGGCTAGATAGAAACTTACTCAACATTTTAGGAAGAGTGGCCTCTATGCAGCATGGAGGCTTCTGACAGCTTGTTCTGAGGTTATCTATGGCAGTACAGTATCTTTTACCTAGAAGTCTTTATGTGAATGTAATGTGGTTCAGAGTTAGCAGAACATCCCTTGAATGAAAATTGGGTTCTTCATATCCATTATTTTACTACAATGAGCTTATGGTGAAACCAGTATGAAATTTATTGGAATAACTGCACCATGTTGAAGTTATAGATATTCACATAAATATACAAACCATATCATGTATTGGAAATAATTGTAAAGTATGAGCCCCATAGTCTTTACTCACGGCACGATCAGTGGGTGATTCTTCCGCCATGCTCATATCCGTCAACTTCACACAGTCCACAGGAGACTCGTGGCACAGTGGTTAAACCACTGTACATCAACTCCACACAGTCCACAGGAGCCTCGTGGCGCAGTGGTTGAACCACTGTACTGCAGCCAAAACTGTGCTCACGACCTGGGGTTCAATTCCAGGTAGCCGGCTCAAGGTTGACTCAGCCTTCTATCCTTCCGAGGTCAGTAAAATTAGTACCCAGCTTGCTGGGGGGCAATTAACTTGTAAACCGCCCAGAGAGTGCTTGAAGCACTATGGGGCGGTATATAAGCAGCACGCTTTGCTTTTGCTTTTGCTTTTTAATGGGTTTTCTGGAAACCAGAGAAGACAAAAGAAAAACTTCAGGATTTTGTGCCATTCCTGTTACCTGCATCAGGGGTGAAGGTAATGGCACTTGCCCCTGCCCAGTCTCTGCTGTTTTGGGGCCCCAAGTTCATTAGGGTCAGACCTTTAATGGAGGTTTCCAAAGTGAAGGCTGAAAGTAGGGGCCCTGAGAAGCAACATCTTGTAAGGCCCACTGTGAAGACAAGGCTTCGGAGCTCAGTAGGATCTAGTGTTATAGGGCTGGAGGCAACTGCTCTTGCTGTTGCTGCTGCTGCTGGAGGAGTTGCTGGCATTCCTTCGGTCTTTTTCACCTCAAGTATCATCTCAGGGTAGGCGTGGGGCATGCGTGACCTGGTGCAGGCTGACGGTGATGGTCACAGCATCAGAGCCAGGTGCTGCTGTAGAGATTGAGTCCCTTGGGTGAACTGACTTGCCTCTGGGCATGCAGAGCTTCACAAGGACACCATTCCAGGGATCACTATGATAGTCATAGTTCCAGTTGCCGTAGGGTTTGAGCACGTCTTCTGCACGGATGGTCTCCTCGCCCTCTCTTTGGTTGTTCCTCTTCCTCCTCCAGGTCTGAAGACTTGCCACCCATGTCCTGGCCTCCTTTGCCCTCTTCACTCACAACCTGTCCCCCAGCCTCCTCCAGGGCCTCTCTTATAGACTTCTAGCTGCAAAGAGGTCTCTTGCCTCTCCCTTCCTCCAGGTGGTTCTCCTTAACTGGTCTATGCTTCAGGTTCCATGCCTGTTCCATGCCTGTCCCAGATCCAGTGTCAGATAACTCTGGGGCTCTGGTCTGAAATGGGGGCTGATGGCCCACTGGGGTCACTAGTGGCAACCCTGTCACATAAGGGTAGTATTTGAAGTATAGCCAATGAAGCAGTTATAGTGTGCCTATCGGAAAGACAATGTAGAATAATATATGACATACTACCAAAATGATTAAAGCATTACATTAATAAATTAGGCAAAGGGAAAATCCATAGTATTACTAAATAAAAACAAGATAGCTATAGTCTCCTAACACATAGTCCATCCCAACTACTTTAAAAGCAGCAGCTGTCAACATATTTTACTAAAACACTTGAAAACAAATTAAATGTGCTAAAATCACAAGCTATCTAATAGGCATAAACCATAAATGAAAGCGTAGGCCAGTCTATAAAATGCTAGGAGTTGATGAACCAGCTCTCTAGAAACTGGCAGAAGATCATTCATTCTTGATATCTTAAATATCTTCAGGTCATTTCTAGCCCAGTCCTATGTTGTAAGATAAATGATTTGCAAATAGCACCTGGGCAACAAAGGGCTGACCCTGTAATTAGTTGCTCTCGATCCTGCATGGTGGTAAATCTTAAAAGGTTCCCTATGCTGACATGCTGCTAAATAAATTGTATGCATGGACTTGTAAAGGTTACTGAATACCTCTAAACAGTTCAGCATAGTTGTGCCTGTTGGCAATATGAATTTACCTGAAAAAAATGTTTCGTTTATACTGTACTCTTGTCTAGAGGTGCACTAAATACAGTACAGTACTGTAGTTTAGAAGTGTTTGTTATGGAAGTTCAATACATGCATTGACCACAAGGGAGCAGTAGTAGCACATATAAAGAGGCACGTAAATCATAAAACTGGGTTTTTAAGTGGAGGACATTAGGTAATGCTTATGATGAGTAATCATAAACGTTAGGGAGGCGTAAAGTCGTCTGTCATAAGTCAAGGGTCTACTGTATAGAGTTTTTAAGTGGAGGACATTAAGTAATGCTTATGATGAGTAATAAACGTTAGGGAGGCGTAAAGTCATCTGTCATAAGTCAAGGGTCTACTGTATAGCAGACTTCGCCTTGAATTAGACTATATTAATGTGCCTTATGACTTTTAGCTGCTAATTACATTAATCCAGTCAGTGTTTTTGTTTCTTTTTATTCAGTTTTCTCATCCAAGTTCAGGTATGCAGTTACACATGTTTTTAATGCTTCCAGTTTGCCTACATTTCCCCTAAAAAGCATTATATTATTTTAAAATTTTACCACGGTTTGTTTCTATTTGTGTCTTCAAAACAGCTACTGTAACAATTAATATATAAGTACAGTATATGCAGAATTCAAACTACTGTAATTATAAACATTAAACTATAACCCACTAGTCATGGTTTTATGTTTCAATCTTAAGTCCAGTCATATGAGGAATTTAGCACTTCTAGGATGCAAATTTCATCTCGTACAGTACTTTATATCTTGTATTGCATCTTGCATTAGCAAAACAATATGTTTCTGGGTGAGAAACATTTTACTAATGCTAGATCGTATGCTGATTTTAACCATACTATGGTTAAAATGGCTTGTTTGTATTAATTATTTTGTATTTTAATATTTTACTAAAACATTTTTTTCATGTGAGTGTAGAGAATAAGGCTATTTTCTATACATATTGTTTTATAACAAAAGTTTAGCTTCAAAGGCTTCTCAGTCATTGTATGATGCATCATTTTACTTTGCATTCATTTTGCACTACTAAAAGTAATCTTAAAAAGCTGTAAACATTTTTAGACAAGTAGTCGTATAATAAACTCTCTCTTCACAAAGTTATTATATGTGCCATCATATATTTTGTATACAATGTATTCATTTTGTTGATTTTTATCTTGAGATTCATTTTCTAACTTTCACATATGTTTGCATAGCTTGCTTGCCTGCTTTAAAATAAAACAGGAAAAGATGAAAACAGTGTTTGAAAAAATTATTCTACAATATCAGGTGTATGTGCAGTGAAAATAGAAGGTATCCAGGAATACAAATATTCACAAATGAAGTGAAGAATGCTTATATTTGTTGGCTACAAATGAACCTAGATTATTTTGCTAGCTACAATTAAAAAAAACAGGCTTCTATGACCTACCCTATATGTCTGTCTTATGTTGACTTGTAAGGGAATCAGAGCATCCCAAGTGATGTCTGACACTATCCTCATAGCTTTTCATAGCCACATTTTGTATCTTCACATGTTTCCTGTCGGATGACCCCACTACTATTCAGTAACTCCGTTTTTTTCTTCTTAGCATCTCACCCTTGGCTCCAGAAATGTTTTCATGTTCCACAGCAAACATCAACAGTTTTTGGTGCTGACAGCTGCAAGATTTTAACTGGCTTGATGGGCTCTTAGAATCCTTTGGGATGGTTGCTGTCCTCCTCAATGTTTCTTTTCCAGGCTGGTTTGTGTTGTAGGTGGACTGGTTTTGGGGGAGGGGGACACTAAGGTTAACTTCCCCATGTTATTTTCTTCATGGGCAAAGAGAAAAGGAAATCTCAGTTTTTCTAGAAGCATTTTCTTTCTCAGTAGTAAATTCATTGGTTGTTGTGGTTTTTTCGGGCTCTTTGGCCATGTCCTTCAGAACACGCCCAAAGAGCCCGAAAAACCTACAACAACCATTAGATCCCGGCTGTGAAAGCCTTTGTGAATACAGTAAATGCATTATTACACAGAGGGCTTAATCACATGGACATTTTGAATAATTTCTTTTTCCTTTTAAAATATATTGATATATTTGTATGTATTATAACGTATATATACTGCTGGGCCCGTTCACATGGCTGTCAATTCAATCAATAAATTTCTTGCTATTTGTATCAGCTCTGTAAGCTACATGTGCCATCTCACATAAATTGGTTCATTCTCCATCCTGTTTCTGGGTCCCCACTGCCCTAACATTTTTTTAAAAATCGTAAGTGATATATTGCTAAAGTAGTATATACATTTATGTGTATTTACGTAAAACTGTATAAGGCAGTATTGAAATTTGATTCATAAGCCACACAAAATCGAGGATGGCAATTACAATAGGTAAGACATTGGCTAAGTGATACATTGGTGAACTGTTGTTATATATAAAAGTAAGAGATGTATTGCTATGCATTAAAAAATATTCAGGAAAAAAAGGGTACAATTGTGGTGGTCATGAAGTGGCCATGGTGTCCCAGATCTGATCTGTTTGAAAAAAGGAAATAAATCAACAGGCAACATTCACACGTGCCAGAGTGATAAGAATTATCCAGTAATTGGATCCTTTTAAAAAAGCCATGCTGGTGAGGTGGAAAAACACTGATCGACTGGCCGAATGAATCAATGTTACCCATGCATTATGTGAATGAAAATGTATCAAACAATTTAAATAACAGTAGAGTTGATATCAGGGGTTCTTTTGGCATGTGTGACTGCACCCTCATTCATTCATTTGCCCTAGTGCCCTGCAGCAGTATGCCCTTGGCAGAATGTTGATTTTCCTGTTTGATTTCTTAAGGAATGGGGATTTTCAGCTTTGCCAGATACGACAGTGATTTTTATAGTGCAAACTACAAAGGCAAGTTGAAGACTACCAAGAAGCTTTCTCCAGCTGATTATTCTGTATTTGATGGTTACTATACCCCTGAGCTAAGCAGTAAACTGCTTCTGAGATCCTGCAAAGTGAGTATATTTTGGATTCCTGACGTCATGAATTCTAGAAGTATCTAGACCAAATCTGCATGACTTAAGACCAAATTCTGTGAAAATAAGATACAACTCTGTTAAAATAAACACAGCTAGAATGATCCAGTGAGAATGTTCAAAAATTTGTTCTTATGGGAGATTCCTTTCAATTGACTGTATGAAGGTCACAGAATTTATTTTCCTTTGTTTACATGGAATCTCTTGAGGTGGGCCTCCAGATTCCCACCTCATTTATACTGATTTTCATAGTTTTAAACCAATTTAGTGGCGTTGAAATCATTGAGATTGAGAGCTCATCCACACCATAATTTTGTCCTTGATCATTTTGGGCTGCTTTGAGTACTTCTGTTTTTTTCCCCCTTGTAGCAGATTTGAATAGTTCAGGGGAGGGTATTTGTTGTTGTTTGTACTGGTATGCCTTGGTCCTCTTAGTACCACCAGTCCACACACATCTGGAATTGTTTCCTGAGCTCTTACTGCCATCATGGATTGCTGTTCCCTTTTTCCAGTCATTCAATCCCCTCTCTGTCCACTTCACTCCCTCTTCCCTTCCCTGGTTATTTTATCTGGCCACCAGGTAAAAATCTTCACATTTTGCTTCCAACTTTCTAATTTTAGTTTTTGCTCCTAGTTAGTTTATTTATTGGCTTTTTGGCATATAAGAAGCTTTCACTAAGCCAGGTTCATGATCTACTGTGACACAGTAATTAAGAGTTCTGTTTTAATGTTCTCATCTCAAAAAATGACTTGCAGTTGTACCAAAATGGGCTTAACTAGAAACTAAGCTGAAAGCAGGTTGTTGTGATGACAGAATGCTGAAAGGTCAAAAGGGATGTATCTAAGGGATGTCTATGAAAATTCAAGAAAGAGTCAGGATTACATTTTTTTCCTGCTGGATATCAAACTTAGTTATTTCCAATGTTCGTTTTATCTGTTCATTTCAAGTTTTCTGGCAAAGCAAGAATTTAAATCAAAATTTACGCTCAAAGGACCTACTCTTCCCGCTTAACAAGATGTGAATATTGGCTTGGAAAAGGCTTACAAAATATATGTAT